TATAGCCAAAGAAACTCTCTAATCCAGTAAATACAGAAAAAATATTTGAACCATGATCGGTATTCTAGTTTTCTAGGAGTAGGCCGCGTAAAATGACATTTTGGCGTCACTAACAGAATGAAAGAATGGACAGACAGACAGAAATTGAGATAAGACTCGTTTCGGCTTTCTTAGGCTATGAAACATTACCTATGGTTATATTATAACCAGAAGCAGCATGATTCTAAGCAATGTAGGCCTACAGACAAAACTGTATTTTATTTATAGAGATAGATAAAGCGATTTAAATATAAAAAATAAAAACAGTAGGTCCTATGTGTCGTATTTTTACGTTTCAAAGCCATTTGAAGTTGCAATCTGGCTCTGGCTGTTTTTTCTAGATTTTGCCTTATCCTGTGCCTCTAATATATAAAAAGGATTTCGGATGGGCACTTGGGGTTTTATCTTAGCTCGAATATTTTAGACCTAAAATGGGACATCGCAATTCCAAGATAATCCATGAGTCAGAAGCCGGCTTGGCTACGACGCAGTGCTGGTCCGGAGGGTGGATTTGGTTCCTGGAAGACCTTAATCGTATATACCACGTATGTCAGAAAATGCTTTTGTTCCACTGGACCTTGTTTTCTTACTGACAAATAGTTTGTATCAAATCGTGTAAATTGCAGCAGCTATCTTTATACAGCTAAGTCCTTAATCGACGTACTAAGTATGACCAAAAGAAACGTTTATTCTAACGGAACTTGTTTTATATTGATGAATAGTTTGTATCAAACCGGGTGTTCTAGAACTACTTTTATCTCTGATGACAGTAATATTTTAATACATACGGAAAATACACAGTCCGAAAATATTAGATTCTTAGATTCCTGTGAATTAAATATCATCATTTCCTTGGCATTATAATACGGGATGTAACGACTTAACGTTATTTATTTATTTAAACAGATATGTGGCCAGTTTAAATGAATTTTATTTGGCGCGGTTTGAAAACGTGCTCTGTAGTCCACAATCGACTGTGCTGCCATCGGCCGGGACATCGTCGAACTAGTACTCAGTCGGCAAGCAAGGATTTTTTGCAAGCTTTTACAAAAAAATACAAAACTTAATGTTAACCATCGAAAAAAAAATATCTGTCACACTCAATACACTAATAAGTATATGCTCTTCAATATGGCGTTTGAACCAGAATTGTTTATAGTGCCAGTCATTTTATATGTTAGCAGAAAGTATTGCAATTCCTAATGGGAAATGTAAGAAATGATTTATTTTATATCCGGCTTATAATTAAACATTATGATTTTTATATTGTACAGTCTTAATCCTACATACATTTACAATGTTTTGAGTGTGGGAAATAATTTTTGGAACACGGATAGACCAGAAAACGAGGAATTATTAAATGCGCTCCATGTTAAAGTGACGGCTAGTGTCGGCAGCCGAGAATCTCTGTCCGACCGCCTCTTAATCGCTGGTTACCTGGATGGTAGCTGGGACATACACACAGTGGCGCTCAGTACAGTCGCTTCGCTTGTCAGCCGCCGTGTCGAGATGGCGAGTTCTAGTGACGAAGAGTTATTGCTCGATAGTACAGGATCTAAGTGGTTTTTACTAACTCAAGTAAGTGAACGCGAGGGTCAGGTTCATCCTGTCAACAAGGAAAGAAAGCAGCATTTTTGAACATGAGCTAAATAACATGTCCCAATACATTTGTCTTCAAATAAATATGCTTTACTATACGTATAATTGATTTTCTACCTCATCATTGCTGGTCACTATTATCTATTGAACATTATCTCTATAGTCTGTTAATATCACATCCATCCACATAAATACCTAGTTTTATTTGCATAAATTCAATGACAAGCTTTTTTAATATTTTTTAATTATTATCCATCAGAATAACATAGTGGGATGGGCTTGGTTCCACAAAGGCACACGAATAAAAACCTCCGATATTAATTTGTCTACGTCCATTATTTTATTTCTTGTAAACAAAACAACAACCAAATAAATCGATTAAAACAAACAACACTCCGTATACAGAGAATGCGCAGTGAAAGATCCGACGTGGAACTAGCGAACTCGAGACGAGAACACGTGGCTGTCAAGTTCTGCTATTTGCGCATGCCCCAGTCGAGCCATCCCCGCTTGCAGCTCCCAAACAATCGACTTGGCAATTCTTCTAGCTTGCCGCCTAGCTTACTGCTACCATCTCGGCTACCTGCTAGGCGCGACTGTGTGCGTACCCATAACAACGCGTGCGTTAATTCTACATAGCAGTAAGCGAGTAAGCGACCTGCTAGGCTACCAGCTACCTGCCCTGCTCCACTGTGTTTTTACCCTAAAACGTTGTGTAGTTTTAAACACAACTCACCCATTTTTATTATTAGTTGGAAAAGTCCAATTTAATAATATTAACATTTCAGAACCAACGTCATATTATAAAAACTCTGTTAAAACTATTGTTACGAATACTATACACTATAAACTAACTATACACTATAACTATACACTATAAACTAACTATACAAATTTATAGTTTATTCACGAAGATCTGCAAGATTAACGATACATACAAGAATCACAACAAAATACCATAGATAAAAAAAGCTCCCTTAGTATTTTCCATCCTTATAGTACAGCTGAAGCCAATCTTATCGTTAGTTCTGTCCGGTGCACTGTAGAGGTCGTATTTTGTTTACAATTTGTTTCTTCTTATTTCAGGCATTTAAAACCCCGTTTAGTCCAATAAAACAATATAATCATAAACAATAACTCATCCTCTAGTTATATAACCAAACAGTAAAGCACAAATCATGAAATTAATTCGAAAATAATAGAAACAAAATCTTGTCGACACCAGCCACAAACTAGACACGAAAAACGAGCTTCAATTTACAATGGGATAGGAAGTCTACTTGTGTTGGTTACTCCATAATACCATTGTTTAAAAATACGCACGGACACGTAGACTTCTTATCAAATGATAAATTATTAATCATATTATCTAGCTGCTGAAGTTAAAATTTTTAAATTATCTCCCTGTTAGTTTCAAAATTTATTGAATAACAAGAATAAAAAAAAAAAAAAAAAAAAAAAAAAAAAAAAACGCTCTACAAAAACCGATCGTAACCAATTTCAATTTATCTTTTCTGATCCACAACGGGGATGAATTCAGAGACTAGGCTTTGTTTGATATTTCGTTGTATTTTGTCGTCACGTTGTTCTGATTGTTCTGACAGATGGCTGCTGACCCTGTCTTAACAATAGGTTATAAACCTTAGACCTGAATGGTGGGATAAGCTCCTGTTGTACTCTCAGCTGGAGTGTACGATGTCGTCAGCTGTGTGTAATATTACGTCATATGTAGAATCAACCACGGCTACCTAGATTACATCAACGTGAGCATATTTAACACTCTTGTGTCACGGCAAGCATGTGCTCTCAACAAGAACAAGGGTAATGTAGCATACTCTCTACCTAGATAGCGTAACAACTGGATATTTAAGACGCACTTATGTCGATATTAGGGATATTGGCGTTGCATATAATTTGCAGGCATAGTCAAGCCATGAGCGACTGGTGGGGCAACTAGTTGCTGATGTAGATGTGTAGTTCAGCAACACCATCCTCACTCAAATTATATTCTGCTGGCACGTTTTTTAGGGGTTCATTTATGCAATGCCACTAAAACTTGCAACTTGCATAGTCTGTAAAACAAGTATAGTGTTTTACGATAGGTACCTTCTTGCTTCTTGGTTATAAAGTTAGGAAAGTTCTAAAATTAAATCATTTATTTGATTTTGTAAAATAAAACTGATTGTGATTGGAAAAAATAATTGGTTATATCATACAATTTACTTAAAACATTTCTTAGTCACACGTAATTTATTTTTAAAGTAGGAAATAAATAGCTCAAGTCTTAGTCTGTGCCTCACGTAAGAATAATGTTTTCACTCCTAAAACTTGCTCAAGGGCACAAATTTAGTAGATAACAATCAAAATCAATTTGCTAAATTTAAATTATAATTAGGATGATTTAAGATGAAAACAATCCAACTGAATCTCACTCGATACTAACTATTCAACTATAAAGTAGCGATGATTCGATAGTTCCAGTTGTATCGATGGAGCCCGTTCGGTTCCAAACCAGCCAGCACTCGGCAATTTCTGTTTCTGTCCAGTGTTGCCAGGTGTACGATAATTATCGTATTTGTACGATTTTTTTGCTCCTTCCCCATAAAAAATAATTTTGAAAAATTGTACGATAATATTGACGTTGTGTACGATTTTTTGTCATAATGTACGATTATTTTTTGGGGGATAGAAAATAAACGATTTCATATTGATTATTATACATTTAAACACATTTCCCACTTTTAATATATTGAAAAACGGTAACATCACTTCGTTGCTGTTCGATCAGGCTACCTTGCAAAGGCATCAGCTGTGTTAGAGAGGGCCCATTGGCTACCAAATTAAGTGTTTATAGGAGAATTTTGAGGGAAGTTGGCCACCATTTGTACTAGAAGTAGATTACATTGTACCTTCAATTAATTATTGTACTCAGTATATTGGCAGTAGGGGAATGAAATTAAAAGCAATGAGCTAGTTGATGTTTCAAGTTGAGAACCAAAATTCCATAATTTTACAGCATTTCATTTTTTTCTAGCAGAGATGCAGATTCCGTGTGTGTGTAGTAGTGTGTGTGATCATGGCCGCCTTTAACTCCGTGATAGTGTGCTGCCTCCGGTAGAATTTATATTTTTCTAGCTCAGTGGTAGGCTTGTAGAGCAAAAACAATGGGCGACAGAGACAAATAGAGTAAAATTTCGGTCATTCCATCATCGACTTGCTTGTTTTACATTAAAATATAAAAGAAAATTGTGTGTACGATAATTTTGCCCAAAATACGATAATTTTGGACTGCTCGTACGATAATTTACACCGGCCAATCTGGCAACACTGTTTCTGTCTGTCAGTCCGCCGTAGTCTGTTGGTGGAGAAGGTAGAAGGCGTTGCTGCTCTTCTAGCAGTAAAGCGCGCGTGTTTTTAGTGAAGTGAACCGATCATGATTGGCCTCGCACGAGTTTGACAGTTAAGAACATGGGGATTTTATTTTGGATAGATATACCAAAAGGTAATGTTAAACTATTCGTTCGATTAGTTAAATATATTTAGCCTATTTGTTGAAATATTTATAAACCTCAAATAGTTTTAAGTATAATTTTACCAAAAACAAATTAGATATTATATAGCTTATAGTTTTAAAATAGCTACATTTAAAGGATGTATCTGTATCTGATATATCTGTAATAATTAGCTGCGTAAAAAGCTAAATATAAATTCTAAGATAAAACATAAGTACCTATTTATTTATAAAATGGAGTACGAAATACAATTTTATCTAGCCAATTTTAATTCATGACAAATTACGTCGCTGGTTTTTTATAGAATTTAAATTTATTAGTTTTAATTTGATAAAGGCTACACATTGAGGTATTTGAAATGTATTGTAGTAAACAATAAACAACATTTATGAAGAGAACCTAAAATGAACTAATGTATACATACAAATAAATAAATGAACAACCGGATTCAAAGTTTTAAACCTCCAATATATGAGGTTCGCTAACTTAATTTAAGCACATTTTTACCTGAATAATTCTTTCGACAATAAAAAGCTATAAATTAATAATTTTAAGACACTTGATGGATTTTTTACAAGACTAGGGACTTTTTACAGTGAATCGTCATATTAAAATAACTTATATTAAAACCAAAGAAAACATCTCAACAAATAACTACCAAAAATACTGAATACTTGTAATTATGATCTTATGGCACATTCGAATGATTGTATTATTAACTGTTTTCAAATTTGCAGTCTGAATTTAGCTTAACATTTATTATGTGCTGTGGGGGGATTTCCATTATAATAAATTTGGATCAGATGAAAGAAATTTAAGATGTGTTTCTGCCTGAAGGGCGTTCACAGATTTTACTTTTTTATTTATTGTTTTTTTAAAACCTTAAAACTAAATGTACTCTAAAAGTAGTAACACCACACCAAACAGAGCCAATTAAAATAACACCATTACTCAAAAATATACGATAAAATTGAACAATAGGATGAAGATTCTACTTGTAAATGTAAAACCAATGGTTAGTTATACCAAAACGCTATGGCTTCAGATTTAGTTTATGCACAGACGGAATGAAATGGCATATCAACTCTAACGCTTTCAGGGATTTCAATTTAACGATTAATGAGTAGACAAACGATTACGGATCATTCTGCGGTGTTTGAAATCTTGTACACCCCTCTGAACATCTGACAGAAAATACTCGTTGCCTTAAACTAAACATCGTTGATTTTTAAATTCCCACACAATGGAACTTGCACGGGTTAATTGGTTATACAGGGTGGGGCAATGAAAGCGCCCCAATTTATAAGCAGTACAAACTCAATAATATTCACCCTATGGATATAAATAGCACATCAAAACACAGCTTATCTTTTGCCATTTTAACTTAACAAAGTCATTTTTCCATTTCTTGAGAACGAAATCCTGCAAGTAACGTCCTTGACATAAGGCACTTGAAAACTCCATCAAATACTCCTCCAGCATTTCTTCAGGAATCACTTTAGTTTTTGGACAATTCTTAGTTTCGGTTCAAGCAAATCTGTGGGGTGACTTTGAAAAACCTCGAACATCAAGTAGCTTATTAGAACCCCCCCCCTTCCAAAAAAAATTGGCCAACGTAAAGCTTTCAACAACAACAGCTTCCTGGCAAATCTCTTTGGACTTTGAGTTACTGCGACTCGCACTCTTTCAACATTTGCTGATGTACAAAGAGTTTTGCGGCACCCACCGATTATTTTTAAGGTTTAAGCGTTTATTTTAAATAATTTTACCCAGTTCACCATTGTTTTCCAATCTGGAACAGTGCCATGTTGACCAAAGATGGAATGTGGTCCAAACAATCTCTGGGTTTTTGCACAAGACCCACTATTTTAAAAATAGGTTTGCACATCAAAATCTCAGTGTTAATAGCCTCGGGCATAATATTTACTAAAATGGCATAGTTTAATTGATGTTTTAAGCACAGCTGATCATTCGTTGTTGCAACAATTAACATGTGACAGCTAAAACAAATTGTGGCGTTCTCATTGCCCCACCCTGTATTTATCACGAAATTTAATTTTTATTAACAGAGAATTATCTTTTTCCATTTTGCCATATTGCTAAACACCACGAATTGTTTTAACTTATTCTTATGACTTTTGGATCAAATAGTAGACAATATTCGTAAAATAAAATGAATAGAAAGGGGTAAAACTGCAAAGCAAATATATATATCCTGATTTTACCGTATAATTCAATAAAACCCAAACCCATTACTCTTGCAGTTTTGTTTATATTTGACAGATTACTAGAAGTTTATCCTTAAAAAAATAGGTTATTGCTCATACCAATAATTAACTACAGTATTGTTTATTTTAAGAAGTGTTAATTGCTTATAAGTTATGGCGTAATGGGTGAGTAGCTTATTTTTTACCTCACTACGATTTTTTTTAGCCGAAACGTTTATTGGAGGCCGAAAGTTACGTATTGCTGTATATTCCAGCTGTCATCGTTATTTGGGGACCGAGCAGGTTTTTAAATCCATAGGGCCGAACATCAGCTAATACACAATCAGTATCCATAGCATTGCAATACACTTGTTTTATTGTCACGACTGCCCTAGCAACTATTTATTATTATTTTTGCTGATTCCTAAAATGATTTCTTCACGTTTTAGTTGAGTTGACTGATTATTATTGTGGCGAATAGAGGTCATAGGGTATAGTGTGGTGAAAATAGGGTTCGTACCACGGACCGAAAAGGTTTTGCAGCTCTCGATCGTAAAAAAAGCTTGAGCCGGCAAAACTTCATTTTCGGCCCTAGGTACGAAATATGCTATTACACAATTGTGGGTTTTTAATTAGCGGATAAATAATATTAAATAATAATAATAGCTAAACACATAAACATTTAGTACTTAAAAATAGATTGCATCAACATAATTTCATAACCGTTAATTACTAATAGTATAATAGATACTCCTTTTATCTACGATAATATACTCCTTTTATCTATGATAATAGTTATAACAGCTTATACTAGTCCTAACTCTTTCCCTAAAGGTCTGCTTTAAAAATGTTTGGAATTAAGTCAACTACCCAGTCATTGTTAAATGCACCTTAGGTTACCAATGTTGATACATTTTACAATAAGTTCCACCTACTATCCAACCATGTCAATTTCTCGCCTAGTTCAAGATAATAAGTCATACGATGTAATTGGGTCAGTAAAAATGCTGACCCAAGATAACTCAGCGTATGATTATAAATTATTAGAGGCTTTGATCAACAAGCTTCCTCAACTGACTAAGCAGTTTTGATATACCCAGTTCATGTGTTACCATGTGGTCGTAGTACATACAAGATTTTCCCTTCCACTATTATAGTGGTAATTATAATAATTATAATAATTAACTAATCATAACACACAGATTAACTCTTTAGTTGAATTTAAAATGTCATTTAGGTTATGTTTGCTTTTTACTTTCTCCGCCTATAGGCTACATAGTATGGAGAATGTATTGTTTTCGTCAAAATGTTCGAGTTTGAGTTTTGAGTGGATCTATCCGTTTTGGGTTCCTCTGGACCCAAATGGTTTTCGAATTGATGTGTGTGCTTGTGTGTCTGTTTGTGGATGTGTACAGAGCTACAGACTACACCTGTTGTCGTCCGATTTCGATGAAATTGGGTACGGTACGTATGTGTTTAATTAATCCATGGTATTTCCAGTCACTGTTCAATTTTTTATAATTTTTTTAATGGTAATTTTTCTACAAAATAACGGACAAATCAGATTTTCTCGAAAAAGGCTCGAACGATTTTGATAACAATTTAGTATTCCTTTAAATCCTGAAGAAAATGGTATATATCCCATTTCCTTAAAAATTACAGTTCAAAAGTTATTTAACTCATGTTATTTTCCCATAAAAAATCCCATGTCAAAAAAATAGATTTTAGGACAAAAGCCGGTTTTGATTACATTTTGTTATGGTTCTTATGATTATAAAACAAATAGTGCAACTTCCCCATTGCTGAAACAATTGTGGTTTTAAAGATATTGCAACATTTTACATTTTCCTAAAATATCATAGGTACTCCCTCCGCTTACCGATTATAAAGGTTGTTCACGGGCTAGTGGGAGAAAGTATGTGTCACATTTCTGATACCGTTTGTTTTAGGTAATGTTATTTTTCGCTCAACGATTGTTAGTGTTTTATAGAAACGCCAACAATGAAATCAGCTGACTTAGTGATTTAGCGGAAATGAGCTATTTTGCGTAGGCCTACTGCTTTCATGTGTGGAATCGTGGCAATTCCCATGCAGTAGTCGGACTTTGGTCCAAGTTTCCTCAAAATCTGAACAATTTTTAAGATTTTTATCGAACTAGACAATGTTTACGATCCGGTTCACGATGTATTCATGGGCCGGGATATGGATTATCATTAGAATTTCGGCAAATGCTATCTCATCTTAAGCAAATTTTTAAAAACAGAATATACATTGTAGTATCATATTAGATTATTATGGTTTTCTTGTATTGCATTTTCAACAAAAAAATTAAGAAATAAAACATAATAATTAATTATTCCTGTCGCTAGAAATAGGTTAAGATCATGGTAGCCGATCAGTAATTCGATTATCTATTCCATGCTTTTAAAAAGTGCAACATGATGGCATTGATACATTTTGTAATCTAATAGAATCAGTTTAACGTAGGATATTCATATAGATTGTGTTGTAAAAATCTAATTTCTTGGGATGAATACAAATTTAAGACAGCTTATAACATTAGTGGAATAAAACAGTAACTTCCGAGAAAACCTAGGATAAAATCTAGTATACACGAATAAAATACCTTTTTTAAATAAAATACTTGAGCTTATAAGATCGCATACAAAAGTAATCGGTTCGATCTTCAATTTTACTATAGTACAGTAGCTACAAATAAAAATTACAACAATTTGGTCAATTACACCATTTGCTCGGGTAACGATGGATGTTTTTGTATACATTGAGCTTCACTCAATTACCTACGAAGAGATTCTAATGTATTTGTTTACGCTAAATATTCTGAGGACCGAACCGGTAAGCGTAACTGTCATGCGATTACTACCCCCATATCATTTTCTGGATAGTTGAATGGTACTTAAAGTGCTCACCTTCAAATCTTAAGGCTGCTGATATGATTCCAAGGGAGTATAAACTATCTACCAAGACATTTATCACCTATATCATCATTAATGTTTTGCTGGTGTTCCAGACCGGCCAGTGACGTGATGCCCATCAACTGCCAGAGGCGGTATGTCCCTTCAGCCGCCGTTGGACAAGCGCCGCAAGCTCAGCTTCCCTGCCCAGCTTCACCACAACCTCCTAGGACTGCCAGAGCGTCGGCCACCCAAAGTATCCAAGCGACGGTTCAGTACAGTCAGCGACGCTGTTTCCCGCAAACTCTCCGGATGGCGTTCCAACACCGGCGAAATCGTCGCCCAAGCCAAAACACTTTGCGGACAGTACATCCGGTGTAGGTTGAAACGAACGAATCTTCTTAACAGAAAATGCGGTCTGCAAAGACTCCGGAGTGCCGTGAGTTTGCCGGAGGTGCGAGAAGTGTTCCCAGAGCTGTTGAGTATCGGGTTGGAGTTGGAGCGGATGCATCCGTCGCTGTACACGGGCGTGGGACGTCAGGCGAGCTGCACGCCGGTGTTGACCAGTGAGGCGGCGGTGACCAGTGTACTGACTGGGGTGGCGAGGGAGTTGTCTCGGGAAGTGACCTGGGCTAAGGTAGTGTCTCTGTTCGCCGTAGCTGGAGGATTGGCTGCCGACTGTGTGAGGCAAGGCCACCCGGAGTTGCTGCAGACAGTAGTGGAGTCGCTGGGCCAAGCTGTGGATTACCACATGGCTGATTGGATCGCTCATCACGGAGGATGGGTTGGTTATTTTTTAACGTAGTTAAACATTCTATTCGATAACAAAACAAAAACACACGTCAAATTAAGAATTTAAGGAGAATTTCGAGCCTATTTCTTTGTGTTGTGAGGTTCACTGGAAACTTGGTCAACAGAATGCATCTGAGTACTGAGGTTTCTGATAATTGTGTAGTATCTATAAATCGAATAAGGATCACAAACTTTTGAGAAACCCGTTGGCTACACGCATATCAACTGCATACTTGAATGAGGGATCTTGATCAGAAACTTTCCGAAATTATTATCTTTTTGAGTCTGAATGTCAATTGATGTATTCAGACTGTCAAAAATTTAAATATAGCTGATAAACAATAAATTGAATGATTATTTATATCAAAATTTACAAAGTTTGTGCTAGTTTCTTGTAGCACATACATGAATACACAATGACATTAACTTATAGACCTAGAAATAACAATAAATATTGTCTCAACAACAGTTTTTGATTTGTTTTGCAGGCTGGTCTGCTGAGTTACTGTAAGCCGCCAGACAACGACATCTCTCTCTCAGGGTTCGTGGCGTTGTTAGCAGCAGCTCTCATGATCTTTCTGCTCCTGATTCTTTCTCTCCGTTGGCTTGGGAGGATCTCTTTCTTTTGAGGAACTTGTACATTTTTGTTGTTGACCATATTGGTGGAAATGTTATGTTTTTTTCAATATAGATTTTATATTAATAGGGGTATATTTTAACCCATATTTTCCTTTTACGTCAACAGCAAAAAATTCCTGGAAATGTTGATAATTAGGTAATTAACAGGCAATATGGATACATCATACAGCCAAACATTTCCGTATACAGTTTACAATTACGTGGTTACGGTTTAGGGAGTTCAAAGCTTGTTTTGTAAAGTTAATAGTAGTTCTTTAATTTTTTTTTCGATTCCACATACCAAAGGACAAAATATTAACTAGGGTGGTCTGCCGTTACACTTTAGACGCATAAATGATCGAAGCATTATTTAAAGATTGTCAATGGCTAAAGCAGCTAACACCCTACAATATGTTCCCTTTCAACAGATTCACCGTTTGTTTGCCCGATATTATTTAAGTTTTAAAGAATGACAAATTTATCTGATAGTTCATACTGTATACCTTTGTAGTGAAACTGGCCATCCTGACCATTTGCTTGTACACTGTAAATGGGCCTAGCAGGATGTACTCGTGCAATCAACATTTGTTCTACAATCGTCAGGTCAGTAATTCGTTCGGGACACTTCACACATCCATATTATTTAACGCCGTGAATTTAGTTGCATTTGAACGACAACGCGAACAAATCGGTGATTGGTTTGAAGCTGTTAGTTGTTGGCGATGACAGTTAGTGCAAGTGTAAAATTTTAGTACATCTAATTCATGTTGGAATTGATTAGCTAACTGTCTATCATTATCAGCTTCTTCCGCCACTGATTCATCTGGTTCTTCTTGTTCACGACGCCACTCTCTTACAATATTTGCATTATTGGTGCGACGACCAATATTACGTTGGGCCTTTGAGGCATGCTCAAAACAAATATAGCAAAATTGTTACTTCCATTGATAAACTGTTACATTCCAACTTTAACCTAGGATGAAAGTAAACATTGAAATGTAAACAAAACAGTTACAAACAATTAACATATGTTTATCTCATTTAAATGAAACTAGATAAACCCATATGTCATAAACCCAAAATAATTTTTCTTTCAACTTACATTAAAATAACAAGCGAAATTGCGTGACCCGTAAAATAAAATCCAAATGGAAATTCGCAAATATTTTTTACCAAAACATTGTGCTCAGTATTCTTTAGCTGTTGGCCAAATTTCATATCAATTGGTCAAGCCATTACATTCTGATGCTCTTACAAAGAAGTTACAAAGTGAGGAAAAGTGAGCTTCGCTCAACAACAGAATCATCTAAATTTGTTGTATTCTTTTTTTAGATTTCTTAAACACACACTTAAAAATAACACTCATAGTAATCTTGGTCAAGATAACTTTACCAGACACTATAATTCTTTCAGAATTTCTAGAGGAGTGATTTGAAGACAAATAAATAAATTGGTGTCATTAATAGTATGAAATATTTATCATTGAAGAGATTTTTAAAGCAGTGATATATATTCAGGATTGTAGCTAGATTCACTTGTCTTAGTAAAGAACCAAAGAACATAATAAATCAGAATATACATTTATGGCATTCACAGCTTTATTTGAAATAAAATATTACATAAGTCTCTCCAAACGAATAAAAACCCAACGTGTCTTTATATGATTGCAGATTAAGAAAAAACTATACCACGCGACAAACAATTCCAATTAAACTTGCCTCGCAAGAAAGTATCATCCAAACACGGGTCAGTTCCATGTCTGTAGTAATGTCGATTTGCCTTAGTCGTCCAATGGATCCGATCAGAATATAAATGTGTTCTGAGAATGCAAATAAATCACGACTGAGTACAGAACTTACAGTTGACAATAGTTTGCATACATTACTTGAAGTGACAACCGATAAGGTATTTCGTATGTGTATTAAGTAATTGATTAACAAGATACTTTATTAGACCTAGTAGCTTTGTTCTTGGTTCACACCGATGAGAGAAAGCAGAAAAGATGAGTGCGGTTCCAGAAAGTCACTGTAATAAATTATCACATCCTCCCATTTACCGTAGAAACTCAATTGCACCAGTTTGTCGTTTTGAACAACTTTCTATGCTTCAATGATTTCAGCAGTAAATAAATTTGCCGAATTTTTAAAAGAGTATTTTTAAACACTGTCTTTTTTGCCAATAAAAACAACTTAAGAAGTTCCGTTGGCATAGATAAACGTCTTAACCTTCTCGTGACGGATTTTTGTACATTCATAAACTAATGTCTAATTGTATGGGTAGCCGAGTGATTATTGTGCTCACCTTCAAATTTGAAGGTCACTGATTTGATTCCAAGCGAGATGAATTCCATACCCAGGTGCAGTTTATTTGTCGTTGGTTTATCAATCAATGATTACGGATAACAAAAGGAATAAGTTAGTTAGTAACAAAACCACAATTTAGACCATTCAATAAAAGTTTATAATAATTCCAAATATGTAGATAGACGAACAATAAAATAAATTATCAAATATTGTCTACTTTTGAAAAAAGTTACTAGCAAAAAACAAAGGCAGCCACCTAAAATTACTACTTATTTGGCCCCAATGAAAAGGTGACTAATTTTAGAATTACAAATACACAAATTCGCTATAGACAGACATTTCTTATGCTCAAGAAAAAGGGAACTTCATGACAAACTATAAAAGAATTTGTGTTGTTCAAAGGTTTATTGCGGACATTTTCCATCACGAAAGTAAAAAACAATACACAACGTTTCGGGATCTGGAATCTGATCCCGTCTTCAGGTGAAAAACCAGAAAGACTCCGTTTCAGGAGTATAAAAGAATTGTTAAAAACACACAACTAAAACTTGTGTTAGACTTTGCCTCAATATGATAAGGTAGTAGGTTGTTGTATTAATAGTCAAAGGTAGTAGTCTTTCACACCTTCTACCACTAATAAAAGTTTATGTCCTTTCAAGACAGCAATCGAAGGACATTTCATAGGATCGTTTGATACAGATTTCGATCTTAGATTTGATATCTTCGTCCACGACTGTGCACCAGGTAAGCCCGGGGAAGCGACTACATAAAGATCAGTATCAAACAGCGGTCAACTGGCTACTTTGGCAAGAACATTATTGCACATGTGTAATCAGTAGCAATCTTGTCTCGTAAAATCTGTACAGAAGCAATAATCTTGTGATAAAACTGCAAGAAATGTTTAACAAGCACAGGGGAGTCTTGAACAATATTTTCCGTTGGTTTTTTTAGTGCTTCACCAAGTTAGACTAGGGTGTGACGCTAGCATCCATGTTTGAGTATCGGATTTCGGTGCGAGAAGGACGTGTTCGATTCCCGGCACATCCACGAATCATATGGGCTTATACAGCTTGTCCTAAAAGCGTTTTCACCACAATATGATGTTTTTAGCTGTTTTACATACGTTAATTGGTGGCTGAAAGTTACGTTTTGCTGGCCATGCCAGCTGTCATCGTCATTTGGGGACCGAGCGGGTTTTTACATCCCCAGGGCCGGAAAATCAGCTGCCCGCTTTGGCCGCTTACTTTCTTAAAACATTAATGCATATTAAATACACAATCAGTATCCATAGCATTGCAATAGAAATGTTTTATTGTCACCGTTGCCTAGCAACAATATTTATTATTTTTTTGCTGATTCCTAAAATTATTTCTTTACATAACCTTAAAGTTGTAGTTGTGTTGACTATATCAGTGTGCATTATTATTGTGGTGAATAGTGGTAGCATGGTATAGTAGGTGAAAATAGCGTTCGTACCACGGACCAAAATGGTTTTGCAGCATTTGAACTCAAGGAGTAGTAGTTGAAGAAAAGATAGTTGCTGTAACAAATAATCACATATTATTTGTGTATAAGTTTCTAAAAATACATACACACAGACAATATTCATAAAATCTACATCGAGGTTAATTTTATTTGTTTTACATGAAGATACCAAATATTTTCCATCAATAAGGTATAAGCTATGTAAATGTACTAAGAAAACAAGGCGTCTTAGTAAAAGAAGAATAACGACAGTTTGAAATTGCTGTAACTAATGTTTGCCGTTGTTACTCCACGGTAATTAACTACACCCGATAACGCTCGCTCGCTACTCGTGTAATTTATGGTGCAAACTTAAGCCTTGTGCGTTGATTCAACGATGGGAAACTTCAACAAATGTATAATTCAATAAGTACATTCATCAGTTTTGTGGCATTTTGTAAAAAAAGGACTAAAATAAAATGTTTTGCCATGAAAAATCATTTTATAAACTTGTTTGTAAATATAGTAGGTTCTATTTGTAAATGTTATAATATTGTGTCCGATATTGAGGAACTATTGCAGGAATTTTCTATCACAATTAGTGAACAAGTTTTAGTATATCTATCTGAACCCGTCCATTGGTAAGATAAAGTGCTTAGAACACAACGAAATGCAAAAACGAAATCCCCAGAAAGCTGGAAATTCACAAAAGAAATCAATACTGAGAAGTATATAGTAGAAGTATATAGATAGCCTAAGTATAAGTAAAAACCCAATACAAAAAGTTCATAAAAGAAAACAATAATTATTTTGGATTGAGGTTAGACAAAGTGCACGTCTGCTCAGTATATAAAAATATACAGTAGTTTTGTTTGTGGAGTGGGGTCATGATACCGACACAGTTGCCATTGCCTGAGATATCTTCCTCAGTTAGTAGACCTACAGCCTTCAGGTTGATTCGAACCATCATGATACAATATGATGACCATGGAAAATCACTCATATTAGAGTATAGATTTATTAAATTAGTAACAATATCTTGGGTTATAGCCACAATCATAGCTACTTACTCCATTGTCGATATGAGGATATGGGTCAATTGAATGATGAACCCTACATAGCGCTTGCGGCAGATCAGTATGGCGTTACCATCTACACGTGATAACTTGTAGGTTTGACTACAAAATATAAATGCACTTCCATAAATTAGATTTTGTACACTAGAATTTTGTCTTTTGGATACTAGGGTAGAAGGGGTAGAAGTTTATATGGACCAGCTGTAGCAATTTTCAATTAAAAATAACATAGTTAAATGAGC